GTAGGAAACTGACAATCCTGGTCAATTAAGATTGGAGTCGAGCGCACCTACCACGAGCGGGATTCTAAATAAATCACATACTCAGTGTTGACAGGCTAGTGATACAATAGTTCGACTATTAATGCATTGAATTCGAATCGAATGCGAATCGAATTCGCTAATCGCGTTCACACTCTCTTCTTTTTTAATTCGAATTGATTCGAATTGGCTAAATCGCATTATCCAATTCGCATTAGAAATGCATTTTTGTTAATACGAATTAAAAGTTAACGTCGTTAGGACAGTAAAGCGAATTCGACGCGCATTGCAATTCGAATTAGAATTTACGTTTGGACGTTAAACGTTTCGAATGCGAATTAAACTAATATGAATTAGTTAATGCGAATCGAATTCGAATTACGTGTGAACGCAGCATGAGACCACAGAGGCCCCTTAAGAAGAAAAAATGAATACAAATTCTTCTTTATGTAAAGATGGAAACCATCTTGCATAGTGTTCTACTATTTCAATTGCATAATTTATACATTGATGATGTCATTATCACACAGTAATGATTTTTACAGTGAGGACACAAATCTCATATTTCTTTAAAAACTATTACTGGGATACCAAGTAACCAAATCATATTAATATTTTTTATTCAAATCGAATCTACTGGACCGCTGAAAAATGATCTATTAACTAACTCGAATAACTCAATTTTCCTAGTCACAGATTATGGCGTATACGTGTCCACGTTTGAAATTATGAATAGGATAGTGTTCTCATTAATTGTTAACGGGCGATAACCAAAATCTGAAATTTGTTCAAATGCCAGTTTCAATTATACTGACCCAATTGTGCCCTGTGGTAAGTTTGAAAGTTTCAAGCATTCTTAGCTCTCATGTCTTAAGTTCAAATAAAGGAACAGTCTTTCAGGGGGAAAAAATTATTGTGGGTTTTACTGAAAACATCTTTAATTACTTTTAGGACTTCAATTGTTCAAAGTGTGCAAGTACAGATAATAGGAACATCTGATTGAGAGATAAAAAAAAATATACCTTCTTATTACAATTGTAAATAATATCTTCATTAGTCAACAGTGGTCCCCTGTCATACAGTTTTCATTTTAAACTAAATTAACATGCATATTATTCATATTTTAAAAGTACAGCTATATGAAAGAACTAGTTTATTTTAAATATAAATTACTTTCTGTTTTATTATTCTTGACCGCTCGCTGTAATGGTGGTTTCAATTCATTTTAGTGAGTCTAATACATGTTCTAACATTTGTTTAACATGTTTATAACTAATACTGTTTCTTTGGATATATCATATATTCATCAATACTTTGTCCACAATACATGTACAAAGACCATTAAAATAACTTATTACCATACAATTTCATATCAGCATGCCTTTGTAATAATGGTATGTTAAAAAGTATTAAACTATAACTCTTAACTATGATAGTCTTCAGAAATATCTCAATTTGAAAACTGTTGTTGGTAATGCAATTCAAGTATTTTCATGCTAAGCTTAACATCATAGATTTTAAACGGCATTCGCTTGGTTTTTTTTCTTTCAGATAAAGCTGGACATAACGTTTTGATGGAAGACCGCTTATTCAAAACAATTCTTACGTACATTTTGTGTTATTGTGTCATCCTTTCAATGTTGTAGATATGGCGTTTGCGCCAATAAGCGTCGTGTATAAGTATCAGTGTCATCAAAGTAAGTTACTGACTCTCAAAGATTTGTTTGTTATAGATTCAATGTATTTAAATTATAAATACTATTTCAATTTCATTTACCAGTCTAATAATATCAAATTATTTGCTTGTCTAATTTCTTTCATTCATATTACAGATTTGTATATATATTTGTAGAGTGAAATTACCTGAATATTATATGAATTTATTTTAACATTAATCTTAGACTTAGTCAAACTGAGTATGTGAGGAACACTGTTGAATTAGAGAATACAAATTTCACAAGTCCTCATATACAGCGCATAAGATTATTGTACATAAGAGACGAGATAATTTTGGAATGTTTGTCTGACATTACAAGAAAATACCACTAACAGTAAATGAACTTTGTCATAATGTTTGCAAATAGTAACACAAAGGAAAACGTAAATTGCAGTCGTAGATATGTAATTAGTTTTCGTTTAATTGTTATCCGGAGCTTTTGTGCATTTAATCACGACCTTAGAAAATCCTTTATTTAGAAGAAACACACTCAATACGCTAGCCCTCTACAATTCAAATAGTTCCTGGTTTCATAATTAGAATTGTGTTGAGAGAGAGAGAGAGAGAGAGAGAGGTTTTGTTTTAATTACATTTGACTATGATTGTGGTGGATTCGCATGTTCTTGATTTTTTATTTATTACATTATGTGTGATGATACTTTAGTTAATTGTTTTAAATGTTAAATCTAATGTGTGGTTATAACAAAGAAAATTAGATAATTAAAACAGATAGTATGTTTATAGTGTTTGGCTTTGTCTACTACTTCACAACAACGTACAATAACCTGTTAACCAATAATAAAGAAACCAACAGGTCACCATGTGGTCCTCGACAATGCATGTGGCTAGCTTTTAGCTGAAATGAGTCTACACATAACAATTATGGTTATGGATCCTATATCCAAAACAAAATTTAGGGTAGGATTCAACTTGACACAAAAAGAAAAAGAAAAAAACCCAATTATGTAACAACAGCTACTAGCCAAATTCCTTACATGATACTTACACATGAACTTATGACGGAGTTCAACAGTTTCGGAAGCACTTACTCTCATATTATTACTTGAGCAAGTAGAAAGAAAAAGACATAAGTCTAAATATTTACAATAAAATCGAACGATAAAACCAATAGCACAGAAGTGCACAAAAACACAGTACATGGAACAATAGCATTATAAACGAATAAACGTGTGTGCAGGTACAAATGTTCCTAATAGATAGTGTATGTTGATAATTGAAATCATGCAGACTAATCATGAATAAAAAACAGATGTTAAGTAGTCGTCAATGAGACAGCAACCCAAAGAAAGAAATAACCAAAAGACATCGTGTGGTTAACACACAGTATTGTACTTGATTTTCATATGATGAAGACATAATATTTCAATCAGTTTAATTGAAGGCTAGAGCTGCATGTCAGTAACTGCTAGTTGTCCTTTGTTAATTTATGTATCATTGTCATTTTCCTTAATTTCTTCTGTTACCTATTCTGACACCGGACTCAGACTTCTTTTAAACTGAGTTTTACTGTGCGTATTGCTGTGTGTTTGTTTATTCTACATTGGCTAGAGGTATAGGAGTCAGGAGCCTCTGGCCGTTGTTAGTCCTATATGTTTTTTTTAATTTTAGTTCATTTATATGTTTCGGGGTTTAGTGTGACGTCCATTTTTAGTAAACTAGTACACATTTCTATTTAGGGGCCAGCTGAAGCCCGCCTCCGGGTGCGGGAATTTCTCGCTGTGTTGAAGACCCATTGGTGGCTTTGTGCTGTTTTCTGCTCTTTGTTCGGGTTGTTGTATCTTTGACACATTCCCCATTTCCATTCTCAATTTTATTTAACAATAAACAGGTGACTATACAATAGAACAAGCTCCAAGTCGTGTCCAGTCTTAAGAAATATCAATTGAACTTTGGTGGATACATGTATTGTCTCATTTGCATTATATCAATATCAATTTGTTAAAATTGGAAAAGACTTTTACGAAAAAAATGTTAAGAATTAAGAAAATATCTAAACAGGTGTGATATAAAGATATGTTATAAGTCGATGAGATGAAAACGCAATATCACTGGTATGGTCTGTGGCTAGCCGTTCTCGTCAAAACTTTACCAAAATATTACACACTGAGATTAAACAAACACTGAGATAAAATATCTTAAACACAAACACTTATAAGAACAAATTACATGTGGTCATGTACCTCCAACCCTCCTTTCCCCAAAACAGATTGATAATGTGCGGGGAAGTAGAATAGATTGGCTGAAAATGGGCAATACAGGAACAACTGGGATTGTAAAAGGAAAAATGGGCTTGAGAAAAAGGAGTTTGGGAAGGGATGGATGGAGGAAGACTCAATATTTATCAACATAGAGTTTCTTATTCTCCTTGATTCCACTTTTATCGACGAATTTCATGCACCAATGTTTCATAGATGCAAATTTTTTTTGAAAGTTTACATACAAAAACAATTAATACAAAAAATTATGATGAAGATAAATCTGTCTATTTTAATGAATAAAAGTAAAATCTATTGTTTAAAGCGATACTGTTTAACTGGAAAATGTCTACATATGTATCGACAGACTGATACGAGATTGCTGGTAAGGTAGTCCGCCATAAGATCATTTTCTTTTCAAAACTGTATCATAGTTTTTTAAATTCAACCTGAACAGAATTCTAGTACCTAAAAATAATATACGCGAATGGCTTGTTCATAAAATGGAAATCTTAAAGATATCACCCTTTTACAACTGCTGATGTTATGTCTTAAGTCATTTAATGTTAATGCAGGAGAACAACGAGTTTACAAGTAAGAGTAATAAATCGCAATATAAAATAAGGGGATGTGGTCTGATTGAACAATTCAAATGATAAAAGCAACAGCCTGATTTTTGTCCAAAACAAAAACAAATATGATGTACAGTACCGAACGACAACCTCTGCATTACATGCACCTTGCATGGGAGAGGTACATACAAAATAAGGCTGGGTTAATCATTGTTACGGGCGCACAACCCTCTCCCTAACCTGGGACAGTGGTGTAACAACACATCATAAGAACAAAATATTAAAATCAGTTGAAAAGAGATTGAACAATCAGATCGATCGAAACCAACAACTAACAAAAACACTAAAGACACAAAGTACCGATCCGAGAGTACTGCAGTTACTGAAAGCAAGTTTAATCCCTAATAACAACTAACAAAAATAATGTATCCAAGACAAAATGCCCTTAAACAAAGAACTGTTTTGAAGTACTAACGATTACATATTAAATATTTTATTACAAATGCGTATTTCAATATGATAAAGCGAATAATATAATAAAAAACTGTTCGTTCCTTGATATTTACAATCATTTAAATGAAAATTACCGGCATAACACAATTAATGTAACATGAGAAAATACAATGAAAAAAGGTTTTACTAAAATGAATGTATCTGCTGCTTGACTTTTACGAAGATTTTCGTTTTGCATTAATTTTCAATATACAGAAAACTAAGAAGCTTAATGTAGATGAACTTCCTAACTATAACACCAATATTTACATTCAACAGTGAATTACGTCCTTTTACACAAAACTAGATTTTCCAGGCGATTTTGATGGTTTATCATCAATTGGGGAGCCATCAGCATCAAATTTGGCCGGTTCTCTCAGGTCGACATCTTCAGTGAAACTTGACGGTCGTTTTTCATAGCTTGGTGTTCGGTCATAATCATTTCTTCTTGAGTATGGTCTATACGATTCATCTTCAGCATACTGTCTCTCAACGCTTCGATCACTGTATCGCCTATTTTCATCATTGTACCTATCGCCGTGACTATCGTAGTCTTGATTTCTTCCTTTGTCATCATCGGAATATCTTCTGTCACCATTATGGCTATCTCTTCTACCATACTGATCGTCGTACCTATCATCGTACCTATCGTCGTATTTTTCATCGTGCCTATCATCGTAACTGTCATCACGTCTATCATCGTATCTTTCATCGTGTCTATCGTCGTCGCGTCTTTCGTCGTATCTGTCATCGTACCTATCGTCGTATCTGTCATCATCGTAAGGTGGTTGACGTCGTGCGTAACCATCATCGTCATATCTCCTTTTTTCTTCGTCGTAATAGTTATCTTGATTTTCCTCTGCATATCTGTCATCGTCGTCCCGATATCCTCTGTTATAATCCTTTACATAGGCATCGTCATGGTGTCTGTCATCCGGGTAATCTCTGTCACTGTAAGTATAATTGTCGTATCCTTTGTTCAATGAACCTGAACTCTTATGGACAATGTCTTGTCTACTGTAAAATAATTTGACACTTCATCTTAGCTTCTGGAATAATTTGTCCAGAACCCAGATCTATTCTAAACTTAGCTTGGACAACTTTTAAACCTAGCATGGGCAAAAGTTAATATACATCAAATTAATGCGATTATTTTACGTTTTTCGTAGCAAGTAACCTCTACACAAAATGTTTCATAAACTTATCAACACTTAAAGTTATATCTAAAATTTCAGTCCTAAGTAATGTATCAGTTAATTATTTGAAATTAAACAGTTACTGTATACAAATAAAAATCTAACTCAATATTACGTTTTAATATGTTTTGCTTTAAAAAGCTTTGGACTTTAGCGTACTTGCACACAGTGAATAGTCCCAACAGCAGTATGTTCGTCCTATTCGTATAATATATCATCGGAATTCTGATTCGTCAATGCTCTTCAACTTCGTACTTTATTTGGACTTTTTGAACTTTTTTATTCGAGCGTCACTGATGAGTCTTTTGTAGATAAAACGCGCGTCTGGCGTACAAAATTTTAATCCTGGTATTTATGATGAGTTTATATATAGCACAGTTAGGTATGATATAACAAATGTTATATGGGCCTAATTTCAGTTTATTGACAATTCGGTCTTACCATTAAAGTTATTTGTAAGTCTATATCTTTTTAGGGATATGACCGCAAGTTTCATTACCTATCATTTGCTTCTCTGTGCAATGAATTTATTGTTTATAATTCCCCATATTTCAATGCTATGGGTTTATGAAGATCGAATTTCGAAAATATACAATTTTAAATTCTAAATATATATACACAGTTACCTATCACTTCCAGTAGCCTCATATTGAACTCGTTTCCTTGGAGGAGCTGAAAGAAAAAGATGAATGTTATCACATTTAAAAACAGGTTACTAAAATTGACTATTTTTATTAGTATTTTTCCAAAGTTTTTTTTGTAAAATATTGTTTCAAATAAAGTTATGTCTTTATTGTATATCAAATCTATTTTCATGACTTTTGTGTTATTCAGACATAAAACTTTGAACATCAATTTCTGTCGGGATTTTCATTTTCTGGCATTCCATTGTCGTTAAGTTGTCTTTTAGTGATCGATTTAGCACTCAGTGTTTTGTATTTATTAGTAAAGTTTCATAAATTATTTTTGGAATTAATTATTGTTTATTAACAAACAACCACTGGACGTTAAGCAACCAACAAACATTATGAAGAAACTAACATTAAGGTTGAAACTCCCTCGGGAAAGTTGAGATTTGTTGAGTTTGACTATTCTGTTTTTTGGCATTAAGGTTGAAACTCCCACGGAAAAGTTGAGATTTGTTGAGTTTGGCTATTCTGATTTTTTTTGGCCCCTTTTGGTCATGTTGCTTCTCGTGTATTAAGGTATCTAAACATCCGTTGCTTTCAAATTATTTATGTCGCTAATGAGGGAAATCCTTAACATTTAGACGTACCAAACGTAAGTTATAAAGTGTAATTATTTTTTTTGTATTTTGTTCTTTCTTTAACATAGAAAAATGTTCAGATAGGCACTACCACAGATCTAGACTTACATTTTAACACATATAAATAGGAAGATGTGGTATGAGTGCCAATGAGAAAACTATCCATCCAAGTCACAATGTGTAAAAAGTAAACAATTATAGGTCAAAGTACGGCTTCAACACGGAGCCTTGGCTCACACCGAACAGCAAGCTATAAAGGGCTTTTATAAAAATATTTATTGATAATATAACCTGAAAACATACCTGTATATTGTTTTCGTTTAGGTTCTTGATGTTTTTTATACATCAGCACAATATAAGTTGATAATGCGATGAGAATAAGAACAGACAAAATAAGTCCAATGAACCAAGCAAAATTATTGCCTAAACTGTAAGCAGCAGCTGAAAAGAGAATTACATAATTACCTATTTATAACTTGTCAGTAGTTAATGTAAGTCATATCTATAATCTTATTGTTTTTCGTAATTTTAAGAATTGGCTGTTTATGGAAGACATGTGATAATTTCTATATATTGCCCTCTAGGTGTCTTTTCTTTATTTGTGTCGTTCGGTTGCTGTCTGATTGACGTATAAACAATATCTCTTTATATTCATATTATATAAGAATCAAAATGGGAAGTTATATCATGTATACCATTGATTGTTGTTTCCATAGTGTCAAATGACAAGTGTTTCATGAATATTCAGAACAATTTGCCACTGGACGTTAAGCAACCAACAATCAATCAATCATGCATATTCAGGAAGATATTTTAACTGAAAAAAATAATGTGAAGTATCTGTACGTTGCGAAACAATCTTTCTATTTTTACATTTTTATGGTGGTGGGGTATTCACTTTTCCTATATTCTCGATGATGACAAAAGAGCAAAAAGCAGTATCTTAGAAAAACTGTATTGAGTTTAGAAAATTAGAGATTGTAAATGTGATTGTAACCTTATACGATATATACAGTAAATTCCATATGGGGCGAGTGGTTTTTGACAAAAAATATAACTGAGAGACGCTGACTTTCTCAATGTAAATAATTGAATGTTCTGTTTATAATGTTGCGTGAAAATAGTGATATCAAAGTCTTAATTCCCCACAATAAAATAGTCGGAAAGATAAATTCGTTTACATACCCTATATTTTAAATGTAAGACTGCCCTAGAAATTGAAACTCTGAAGAAAAAATGCTTTTGGGATGGAATAAATAGGCTCAAATCTATTTTTCACATGATTTTATGACGCTTTAGAAATAAGAATTGAACAATAATCGGAGAGTATCAGACGCGACAATATAATCATCTGTGATTTATCTAAAACGTTTTGCCTTAATGCACACATAATTGAGAAATAAGTTTTATTTTTTTGAATTCTTTCATTCGTCAGTTTAAATTATTCTAGTTTGCAAAGATACCTAATGTATTGTAATGTCATTATCAATACAATTAAGAAATCACTGGATTTGACCCTTAGTTAAATATTTAAAGTGATACAAACTTACAAATTCCCTTAGTCCGAATAACTTCAATATCACCCTTTGATGTTTTACCGCCATTGGTGACAGCCAGACGGACTTCGTATGATGTTCCATGGTGCAGTTTTTTCACACCTATCCAGCTTTTTGAAAATTCCTGTGCAGACTGTTGCCAATCAGATGTACCTGTATAATATAATATATTTCGTCATCACAAGAGTATTCAAAGTTAGTTATATACATTTCACCTTGTTCCAAACCTTCAAATTTATTTGGCTGAATACATTTAGTCTAATGACATGTAGGTAAATCAAAGTACTGAAGTACTGAACATCGGATGACCGGATTTTCAAAAGCACTTGTCACAGAAAAAAATCACATCTCTATACCTGAAACTGGGGTTAATGTACAGAGATATTTTTTTTCTGAGACAAGTTCGTGCGTGGATGATGAATAAATGACAGAAAATTCAACCTCACCGTAATAACTATTATATTGTAGTGATACTAATCAGTATACACTGGTTTGTTGTTATATATTATATTAATATAACAGTTTCATGTATATATCATTTTCATCCATTTGTATATCATTCTATTCTACTATTCTAATAAAAATGCAGTGCAAGTACACGGTGGACACTCTTCTGTAAAAATTCGATTTTTCTAACAGATTGGATATGAGTAGGCATTCATATTTTCCCGCAAAAACAATCTTCCAGGCAGAGTTACCGGTCCTTGCCGGGATTATCGCAAAATGTTCTTGAGATATTCTTCCGCATGCTTTACCATTTCAATGATTGTTTACCTATATATATATATATATATATATCTAACGACAAAACATTTTCATATTATTAAGTTATGTTCTTAACAAAAATATTGTTATCAGTATTCATTGAAGAAATGTGTTTATAACAAACGATAAGGAATGTTATTTTGCACTCGTTAATATCCGCGTATTTATCATGTTTATAGATCGGTTACAAACCCAAAATGAAAGTAACATAATGGAAATCTAGGCGATAGCAATACATCGGAATGCCCTCACGGTCATCGCGATGTAATAAAAAATAGCACAGTTTGGTATATATATATATATATACGAGAGGATTTCCATGCAAACAACATGTGTTTCTGAAAAAAAAAACCTTCATCAGAAACGCCCACAAATATAGAACGTTAGAACCAAAAGGGTAACAACAAAACAAGTTAAACAGTAGTGAAATTGTGTTTAGTAAAAGTCAAATAAAAACAGGTACAAAACAGGAAAATAAACATGTTTAACATGATATGTAGATAAACGGCCTTTGCTGATTACTACGTTCTCTGTGATATACGATTTTGCATTCATATAGCGACGTAAAATAACTGTGGTAATTGAGATATGTAAATCATATATGGTACTTAGTAAATATTATATATCGGTTTAAATACCTTTCGGTAATACTCCATTACATTTGAGATAAACTCATCGTAGATACCAGGCTTAAGACTTTTGTTTAAAAAAGACTCATTAGTGACGCTCGAATAAAATTAGAGGAACTAAAAAAGCAGAAAAAAATTAAGGGTCCGTGTGCTTGTTTTCGAGATATAAGCCACTGAAAATTTGGCGGGAAATGATTATCTCTAGATTTTCTATACTAAAGATTGTCCGCTTTTCTCTTTAAAAAACTATGAAAAAATAACAAGGATTTTGTAAGATTTTCAAATATGGCTTTTAAAACTATATGTAATAAAATTATGAAAAGAAAAGTAGGGTGGACAAAATTTTTTAATGGCAAAACATGGATTAAACAAGAGGATTCCGAAAATCTGGCAAAAAAATCAAGAGGAGCGAACATCCTTAAATATGAATATGATCTCACACATTAATAAATCAAAATAACAACTCACCTTTTATACGATATTCTACAAACGCAACAGTACCAAATTTCTTATTCATTACCATCGTCCATGTAAGGTTGAAGAATGTTGAATTAACATTTCTGACGAAAAATGATGGAACATCTGAAATCAGGAAACTGTATAAAAATTATCTGTATATTTTCAATAACAATTAACATTAGCTGTTTATTTGTGTTTTTGTGTTCCATTTTGAAATATAATGAATTTTAAGTTGATGTAGGGTTTAAAGAAATGAGACAAATCACAACGTTACAAATTATCAAGATGATCCACATAATTCTGTGGAATATATTATATCCTATGCTATTCAATACTATAATATACCTATACATATTACCATGAATGAATTGTTTGTTTTGTCTTTAAATATCATGCAACATACCCATTGCTGTGCTTTTTGCTGTCGTTATTTCAATGAAGGACTGTTCACCGCGGCCATTTTCTGTTCTTGCCCACATATATACTCTATATTTCTTATTAGATGTCAACCCATTTAATACACATTTTGTTACACGTGGATCTATTATTTGTGGATCCATTTCTTGCATCTGTCCCAATTCAAGTCCTTTGACTGTATAATAATAAAGAATTATGATACAATGATGAAAATTACTTGTTAATCCTATTTCACGGACCTCGACAATTTTTGTGATTGAAATTCATTTATATTTTTTTTATTTCCATATTGTGTCTAGTGTTGAAGATATTCCTGCATATTTAAAAGTTGTATGCAATTCATTCACAGGATACACTTTTTAGTGTTGATCTTATCTCCTGTTTTCCTCAAATTGTCGGTTTTTGCCGTATATCATAATTTTAGATATACAGTCTAATAAAAGTATTTTTTTGTTCCATACCAGTTTCATTAAAAGTCAACACTTGAAATTTGGCAAGTATAATTTTAAAGAAAACTTCCATATGTAACAATAATTGGATAGCAGAAATAAATATTTTGAAAAAGCCATCCCAAAGGACTGGCTTCAGATGTTAAAGTCTGAAAGTTCTATTAAGAGTATTTTAAATATTCCTAGACATAAATTGATCTGGAAAGGTAATTACATTGAGGCTTCAAGTTTTTCAACAAACATATTATACAAGTCAATTTGTAAAAATAAAACTGAACTGTTAGTAAATGGATGCGTATTTTACAAATTAATGAGAACATTAGTATTAATCAATTATATTTTTTTCATATTTCATTATTTAGAAGAGGACACGTTAAAAATATATAGATGGAAACTTTTACCATTCATATTACCAACAAAACACTTATTATTTAAATGGAAACAGAAGAACGACGGTCTATGTAATAAATGTAACGAAGAAGAAGATTATAACCACTTTTTTATTTCTTGTCGATTTTCAAAAAATTTTTGGAAAAGTATTCATGAGTTAATGAGAAAAATTTAAATTTTAGCGTATCGTTAAAGCAAATAGTCTTTGGATATAAGATGTTTGTCAAAATATATTTTGGTTTAAATTATTTCCTAAAAATTTTAGGTTTTTCTATATACTGATCATATTATGTATCTAATCAGAAATTGACAAATGTAAATGTTTATCAAATTTTTGTTTAGGAATACATAAAAAGATATAACGAAAACAGAACAATGAAATTAAATCCATTACTGAAGTCACTAAAAAGAAGTATACACAATTGAAAAGATAAAAACATAATGCATAAAACTTTTGTACAATTGTATTTCAAGAAATGTGTATATACATATATATCAACAGCTGATTACTAACCTGGGTAATCAGTGGAATATTACAGAATACACCAAGAACAGCTTGGACTCTTGAAGTAACAATGTAACAAGTGGTGAATGAATATATAATGTCGTTAAAAAAAAGAAAACTTCCAATCATAGCAAACAAACCTATTGCTCTAGAAAGCTCTTCGCCGAACAATCGCCATACACTAGTTGATGTAGCAGTCGGCAAACAACACAGGTGATAGGCGCTTGCTTGTTCGGGGAATTTTCCTTTTTTCAAATATTCAATGACAAAATTGATTGCATCTATATCATATATTTTCTTTACTTATTTGTTGGCTTGTTTCGGTGTTAATAACTAATTATGGTCTCGTATGTCAAATATTCTTATCAGCAACAAGCAGGTCAGAGAAAATAAACATTTTAGTATCAGTTACTTACAAATAAGAAATATGAGATACTATTGCCTTACCTGTCTGAAATCCTACGTCATATCCTTTCAAATAGCTATTTGTAAGATCTTCGTCAGGGATTGGTGAATTCAAAAGCTCTGGTCTTTTCCATGTCAGTTCTATGAAATTACTTGCTATAAGAACTGGATGTAAATTTTCCACTGGTCCTGGTACTAAAATTGTATATTTTTATATAATATGAAATTATTAAAATAATGTTTGCCAATGCTGGCTCTAATGCATGCTGTACCGTTTAAAAAGAAAGGCGTTTTAAGTCAATACTTATTCATCAGCTAATCACCAGTAACATAAGTGAAAGTATAATCAAGTTACCACTTTCACTTTAACATGTAAATTGACAATTTTTATTGTGCATCAGTTTTCTATCTATTAGTATCTCACGTTCTGTCCCAAATAACACAAATTAGTGAAAGACAAAATGAAAACACCTGTAAAATCATACAAATCAAAAAGTGTCAACAAATGCACAAAACAACCATTTAATGTGTTCTGTGAAGAACAACAGAAGAAAATACTGACAGGTTGAAGGATGTTGTTATTGCCGAGTCATTTATAAACTTAACATATTATCTGCTATTATAATGGACTTTGCATTCGTTAAAGCAAAGACAAAACAATTTCAACACATTTTTATTATATGCCATAACGAATGTCTGTAAAACGCTGCCTTTTCGAATGATGATGGATCTCCAATAAAATGAAACACTAGCAAATGAGTGAACATACATCCACCTCGTCGGCCTAAGCTGCATTATAAAGACCTTTTTGTACTGATATATTTACAAAAAGGAGAATAACTCTTACCTCCGGATTTTGTGACAAATGACACTATTGGACTTGGTCCACTGACGTAATACGTATTCATCACACAGATCTGAGCTTCCATAATAGTAAAGGGTAAAAGGTTTCTCACGGTATAAGTATATTCAACAATTGATCTCTTTTTCACCGACCCATATCGTGGTTTCATATCCCTCTCCAAAATCTCATCTTCTCTAAAAGTTATTCTTTTCATACCTTTTACCCAAAACTGAATCTGAATTATTTAAAACATTACTGAAAAGTTATAAATATAGTGTACAATTTAAAGCCTATGATTAATATATTGTTCAATTTATAACCTGTTAATCAATATAGTGAACAATTTATACCAGTAGCCTTCTGATTAATATAGTGAACAATTCATAGCATTAAAGCTATTATTATCATTGCTTCCTTTTATTTCATTACGCATACAGGTTGTCTAATTCATTCACCATATCAACTACTAGGCCTTACCTCCTCATGAATGGATAAATAAAAAAAATGATCTACACTTCAAGCATACAATCAATCCCTGATCATCTGGTTGATGTGTTCCATTTTTATTTTGCAAAATCATCAAAACGTTTGAATATGTCTATGTAGTTTCAGAGGAGAAGATTTTTGTAAAAGATTACAAATATTTACGAAAAATTATTAAAAATTGACAATAAAGGGCAATAACTCCTCAAGGGGTCAATTGACAATGTTGGTCATGTTTGACTTATATGTAGATCTTTCTTTGCTGAACATTATTGATGCTTTCAGTTTATCTCTATCTATAATAATATTCAAGATAATAATCAAAAACTGCAAAATTTAAAATTACAAATTCAGGGGCAGCAACCCAACTACGGGTTGTCTGATTTGTCTGCAAATTTCGCCATGTCGCCATGTTGGTTGGTAGGCGGGGTCGTCGGACACATTTTTAAACTAGATACCCTAATGATGAATGAGGCCAAGTTTGGTTAAATTTGTCTCAGTAGTTTCAAAGGAGAAGATTTTTGTAAAAGTTAACGGACGACGGACGACGGACGCCGGACTTTAAGTGATAAGAAAAGCTCACTTGGCCTTTCAAGCCAGGTGTGCTAAAAATGGAATGAGCTCAGATTTACAGTGTATTAAGCAGTTATTGATCCACGTTTGTCACCTGTCGTGTAATTCATTGCACATTATACTCCTTTGATATGTCACATTCAGTGATATCAGAATGGGGATGGGATTATGTCTTCAACGAGTTGAACATATCCTTAGTCTTGTATGACAAAGATATTCCATAACGGTCAGTCAAGTCGTAAAGGCGTCCGTAGACAAAATTTTTGATGTCAGTATCGGCGTGCCAAAAACTATAAAATGGTGACTCCATGTCAAATGTGTCCATGTATATTGTAAAATGGTTATTTTCCTTGCGTAACAGTTAACATTTCTGCACTGAATTGTCCCATTCTTTTATTAATTCCATAATATTGGAAAAACAATTAAAAAAGGAACTATTTGGGTTTTTTTTTTCTTTTTAGAGGTCAAATATTGGTTTTTATCACCCACTTCCTTGTTTTATTTATGTATTATTAGTATAACATAAATACCTTGAATCCTCTAAATTTTCCATGAAGCTGAGCATTATTATTCATGTCCCAGCTCCAATAGAAAGTGGCGGAATTTTCTGCAAGATCAGCATTGTCAACTACAAAAGTGTCGATCTTCATACTTGGTCCAGGTTCTGACATGAGAAAAAAATAAAATAATAAAAGTTGTTAAGATTAAATAGATAGATACGATGATCATTCGATACTTGTATTTCTCTCCTCAGTCAGAAGTTATTGTGTGAATTAAGTACTTGGATACTTTTATTCAAGTTGTCAGACTTGAAATCATCTCTATTTCATCATTTAGAAATATATTGCAATACCAACTAAGATAGTCCTCTACCAGTATTGACCGGACTGTTTGCATAAACATAAACTCAATTACAACTGAATCTGATTCAATTAGAAAATAAAATGTAAACGGCAATCCAAGATTATTTATCGAGAGGTTGATACAAGAATTATTACTAAACGCACATTTTTTCTTTTGTTTTTTACAATTATAGACATATGATTTGTCTAATCAACGTAAGTTTCTCTCGTTCTTATTATATCATAAGGGAAAAGGGAAAGGGGGGGGGGTCTTTGTTCAAATTGAATAGTATGTTACAAATAGTTATTCACAATAGAAAATTTTAGAGATTTTGGATCATTGCAAATGTTCTTTTCTGGTATAGGTTGTTTATTTATAAATGTGTTTAATGTCTTCTGAATTGTTTAATGCTTTGTCGGGTTTGATGTCCTGTGAATTTGCAGTCTTGTAGCTATCATGGTGATAATACATGAACGATATAGGACCATGATGCTTACTGTTTTGTCACTTTCAGGATAACATATTTTCTGAATTCTCGATTGTTATTGTTCTACAACTTCGTTATATTTGATTTGGCTTTGCACGTGTTTTGATTCGAGTGATCATTCTTATGAAGACGAAACGCTCATTTGGAGTACAAAATAATAAGCCTAGTATCTCTGGTGACTCTTTTAAAGCAAAGGATCCGGTTTTTTTCGCGCTCTTAGATCTTTAGATACCAATATAGTCGTTTGATCTGTAATTTCATGGCCATTTTCCCGATTGTATCACCACCATTTTCTACATAAGGAAATATATGTTCCAAGTCAGGAATATGACAGTTGTTTTCCATTCCTTTGATGTGTTTGAGCTTTTGATTTTGCCATTTTATAAAGGACTTTCCGTTTTGAATTTTCCTTAGAGTTCGGTATTTTTGTTATTTTAATCTTGACTGAGTGTGATTTCCCATGGTGGATAATGCATTCATATCAGGAGACCTTTACCTTGTCTTACTCCTTTTTGGGGTTCATACGTTTCCCTCATTTTTTGTTTATTACCTTGATTCGTCTCTTCATAATCGATTTTTGAAATTTGAACACCGGTAAACTACTGTCACCTTAATTCATCCTCATAATTTTTTCGTACATTTACTTCGTTTAAGTTAGGGTTAGGGTTGGAGTTAGGGTTAGGTAGATTGCATCATAAATGCAAAATGCAGCCCGTGTTGTTATAGTTATTAGTACCACATACTGCTTTCTCCAGAATAAATGATTTCTGGTATTAGTTGTGCTGTACTACTTTGATGCTCGTTGGCGGCCTGTATCGACACATTATACGGTGTATATACGTCATTGGAAAGATATTCAAATCTGCTCTGTCGCCAGTTTGTTATTGTTTTAACTACATCTATGACAACGTTTCCACGTTTCGAAATCTTGAGAACATATCTAAAGTTGCGTCCACCATGATCAATAGGGGGCATAGGCTACAATACGAAATAAAACGTCTCACGTCAAATGGCATAAGCTACAAACATTTATTGATTAGCTATTTTTGACAGTGTTTAAAACTGCACTATCATAAAATTAAACTATCATGACTTAACAGCATCCAAGACATGTTTTTCTAATTCTGCCTTATTTTAAAAAAAAAAAGGTAAAATCAACGTATAGTGATGGTTATCGGAAAGTTGTCAGCGGGGTCAAATATAAAAAAAATTGTTCATTATTATTGAATTAATTGTATAATGTTATATAAGCTTTTATTTCGTTCTTGAATTTGGTGCTTCAAAGTTTATTTTAAGTATATTCTATTTGACTTTGGATAAATAAAAATTACATGCATGAACCACTAATGATATTTTATTTGAAAATTAGTAGTTTACTATTACACGTATTACATCTTTCCAAATACTTCAACAATACCCCCAAAAGGAACACATAACTACAATGTTAGAATTAGTACTGATGTATGTGTACCTAGTTTTGAAATGTCATTTAATTTCTTAGTGTCTTGACTGCCTTATTCTTTGATTTACTACTATCTACTATTTGTTCGATAAGACTTCTGTGAAACGGTGGGTATTTCTGAATATAACATATTTTTTATAAGATTTTCGAATATTCTAAAAGTTACTAATTGCACAAACGAAAAATGACAGGGGTAGGTTTTAAACAATGTATTATAAAGAATATATTATTCAAAATCAAACGTACCGTCCATTCGATGACAAGATATCCCGGTTTATCGCCGACTCCCCTTACATTTTCGGGATTTTTGTACGGCTTTGCTGTATCTGTTGTGCAAATCTCACTGTGTTTACTAGGTTCACTTATACCAATTTTATTTGTAGCCAAGAGGCGAAAGCTATAACTAACGCCCGGTCGTAATCCTAATGTAATAGTATTAGCAGATTGATTAGCAGTAACTGCAAATACCCATCTGTCAGTCTCAACTGAAGTATTGTACTCTACAGTAAAGTACTGAATGGGAGCATTGTTGAATCCACCCTTCGTCCAGGTTATTGTAGCAGTGTTATTTATGCATCTTTTTTTGTGGACACCAACTGGTGGCTCTGGTCTGTCTGTATTATATTAAATAGAATTCCGTTATTTGGGGGATTATCCCCATTACCGAAAATATTAACAATAAAACAATTGATACAGTGTAGACAACAAATAAATAAATTGTTAACAATAAAAATGGTAATCCTGTCTAGAAGTTGAAAAGGCAGAGTACATAATACCATATAATAATATAACTTATTGTATATTATTAAGGAAAATGCGGAGTTACTTTTATTCTTTTTAAGTCAGCCTGAAAAATAGTTGACAGTATACGAAAGTTCCCAATCTGATATTCGAAAATTAATGATCAATGTATGCAACATAAGTTTATTCCACACACAACGACAATGTCAATTTCAGTAAAGATGATGCCCTTTTATTGAATAATTCAAAATTGGGTGACACTGTTGACTGCATCTATTCATATGAACTAGAAATAAAGGATACGAAGATACAGTTGCATCTAGAAATTGACAATAAGAGTTGGTTGAGAACTAAACTTTACGACAAAAGAGATTTTTTGATTGTTTTGTTGAACTTTCCGTTTCTTTGTAGCAATATCCCAGCAGTGCCTGCATACTGAGTATATATCTCCCAGGAGATATAGTATTCCAAAGAAGCTATTATATATATTAAAGGATTCCAAGTAGAAAAGTTAAATGTTTTACAGACGCCATCATAGTTTGGTTGGTCGTTAGGGAATGTCTGTGTGACATTTGACTACGGATATGTTCCACTTGTCGCAACCACAATCCAGTTCTCTGTTTTACTATTGTGACAAATTAGTAGCGAAAGCGACTTAACAATTGATTTTACTAGCTTGAGAAACACGACATGTGCCACATGTGGAGCTGCAACTGCCTAGCCTTCCGCAGCACTTGAGTTCACCCCGAATTTTCGTGGTGTTTGTGTTGCTTATATTTTGTCTTCAATGTAATGTTTTTTTTTTGTTATTGATGCTTGTCCGTTCGTCGTTTTTTTTGCCATGGCGTAATCTGTTTTATCTGACATCGAAATCCCCTATGTATCTTAAGCTTCTTTCTGTTTTTTCCATACAATACTATGCTAATGTTTGAAGAATTTTATTTGCCAACCCTCGTATTATTTTATAGTAGTATATTATTAGAGGTCCGATAGTTCATTATGCATACACTGAATAAAAAAACATTCTGTTGGTTAAAGTTAAAAAGTTGCCCATTATAACCATCCAGTGTAATCGAAATATATATTTTTGATAACACTGAACACTCATACTTGTTTTGATTCTATATCAGAATTATTCTTATACATATAACACATACCTTTAACGGTCAAAATAGCAGAGGCCTCTTGCTGATCTAATTCGTTAGTTATAACACAAGTATAAAATCCCGAATCTCTACTGATAGTACCACTTATAGTTAAAGAGTTATCTTGTACATTGGTTGTCATTCGTTGGTTGCTTTGTGTAATTTCCTTTCTATCCTTCAACCAATAAACTCGGAGTTTGCTTACTTCTTCGAAGTCTGTTGTACCAGAGCAGGTGAATTTTGCATCTGTTCCTGCGAAAACTTCTAAATCTTTCGGACTTTGTTCAATCCTTGTTGATCCTATGTAAGAATTAATGTGACTTTTACAAAAATTTAACTAAAAGAGTTTGCCAATGTATACTGTATTAGGATACCAGGTTGCATTCTCTGCAGGTGAATTGAATTGATATTGATAGGTGTCATGTTAAGTGTGTTGAATCGTGGATGTATTCACATCAAGTGGAACATTGTAGCTTCTGTTTGGACATTGGGAAACTGCGAGGTCTATGTTATTTTTCAACCAGAAGAAAGAACATACCGATGGCAAATCAAAAATCACAACCAAAGAAATACAAAAACATCATGACCAACAGATAAATACAAACAAACAAACAAACAACAGTCCACCAAACAGAAAAACTAAAAATTAAAGATTCAGCTACAGGAGCCACACCGAAAACAAGTGGTAAACTCCTGTACTCATTAGACGATCTTTATTTCTTGCTTCATTAGTAGTAACCTCCGTAGTTTAAAAATCGGGATTGTTTCCCGTATACATCTGAAGTTCATGTCTGCGCAATTCATGTGTAAATATTTTTTTTCAATATACATTTAGTTTCTTGTTGTCATGTTATCATATAAGTATATAATAGATATCCGCTCAGTCAACAATTTACCATGCAGTTAGGTTGGTTCCCTCCGTAAAATATTCAGTATGCCTGCGGAATATACAGTTTGTAAAATAACGGCCGGGTACCAGTCTACCATGCAGTATACATTTTGTACATGATTTTGTACAGGATTGATCATTGATTAAACACCACACAATCAAAAAATCTGACGATTCATATATCATTTCTTTACAACGAAACGACAACGTGTAAATAACAAACGTTTGAGCAGACCTCATATATTGCCATTATAGATGTTTTCAAATGATCCTAGTCATTTTAAGTTTGTATTTGCTATTAAACTAAAATTAATCATTATTTGCGTTTATCTATTTTATATATCAGCTATATGTGCCATGCGTGTGTTCATCTTGTCTCATCCTTGGTTTTTTGTTGGGGTTCGTGTTGCTCTGTCTTTAGTTTTCTGTGTTATGTTTTGGTCTTTTTTTGTATTTTGCCATGGCGTTGTTAGTTTATTTTTCGACTTATGAGTTTGAATGTCCGTTGCACTACTCTTTTTCATATATCAACTGAATGTGTTGTGGATATGGCTGTAAATTATACATACTTCTAACAATCATCACACCCCAGTCTGAATCAAATCCTTCATTATTCTGGGCTTCACATGTAAAATTCCCAGCATCAGACAGCACAACTTTCTAAACAATAAGAAAGGACTCAATGCAATTATATTTGACTAATATATCGTCAATTCTATTTTTTATCTAATCAAATATAGAAAAAAGATAATGTTGACCCCATTGCAAGAAAGATTTTGGGTTTGATTGTACATTTGGATTACTGTCTAATTGAAATATACCTACAACTAATAAATTTATATGTGAATATATGTAGGATACAAGATAACTAAAGCAATACGATCCAATATAAGGCATAACATGTAATTACAAATCAGAAGGTATTATGAATCAACGAATCAGCTTACCTGAATAAGTAAGTCTCCATTAGGCTGTATCTGGTACCTACCACCAGTTATTTGTTGTGACCCTCTGAACCATGTTATGATAGGATCAGGTTTACCACTGGTCTGACATGTCAGATGCACATCTGTATTCTCTGCCACTTTTAATTCCTTTACTGGCCCTTTGATGAACTGTGGTCTCTCCTCTACAAGACATATATGATGTTAACATAACCGGGCTCCCCAATATCCCACTTCTAAGCTTAAGAATAAAGCTGTATATGTTCACAATATAACATCTATTAATATCAATTATGCATAAAATTTCAAGTTCGATATCACATGATTGTTAAAGCTTTAAGACACAAAAAAACAAAATAAGACCATAATAAGACTCATCAGCGGATCTCGAATCAAACCAGTTGATAGGCCGAAATCAATAATGAAGTTAAATGGCACTGAAAACAAGAAATTCCAAAGAAAAGTTCCAAATCAGATTAAGATATTTTTGACTGACGGATACATCTTACTAATAAATTAGAAAATAATAAACGGAAGGAATATAAGAAATTAAGTCCGTGTTGAAAGATCCACAAATAATGGTATTTAAAAAAAAAACAGTTAATATCATATAATGTATACAATCACGATAAATTAACAACAAAATAATAATTGAATTACATTTTTTTTTATATAGCACAAATTAAGACATTTTGTTATATTTTGATGGTTCTTTTTGTCAAATAAAAACCATCCAATGACTACCATGCAGTTATGAATGCATTACAAGTACGTATTTAGCAATAATCAATTTCATATTACTTATTGACTGTTTATCTATTCTATAATGTTATCAAAGTACTTACTTAACACGTTGAGATAGAAGTCGGCAAACACATAACCAAAGGTATTAGAAGCATTACACTGTAGAACCATTGCATCACCAAGTCTCAAATCTATTAAAGTTATATTATTGTCATCACGTTTGATAAGTCGGCCATCTCTTATAGTGACGTGTTTTGCGTCTGTAATAAAATGAAAAAGAAGAGCAAGCGTTAACGTCACCTGAGCAAAAAAGATATAAAGTGGTGATCCGTTTAATGAACTGAAATGTGAAAAAACGGAATTTAAAGGTGTAAACGAAATCGGTATTCGAATAAAAAAATCTTTACATATAAAATTTATAATGTATATATATTGTTTCTGTATTTCTGTAGATGTTATAATGTTTTATAATGGGGAAAAAAAACAGGCAAGTTTGAAAATTGGTTCGTTTTATACCCAGATGACCACGGATCGTTCCATTTTTCGTAGCAACAATCATGCTTCATTTACTCGTTTATTACATCAACAATTACGACCTATCGCAGGATTTTTCTTGTCACGAGCAACACGACGGATGTCACCAGTCACGAGCAACACGACGAATGTCACCAGTCACGAGCAACACGACGGATGTCACCAGTCACGAGCAACACGAACACGACGGATGTCACCAGTCACAAGCAACACGGCAGATCTCACCAGTCACGAGCAACACGACGGATGTCACCAGTCACAAGCAACACGTCGGGTGTCACTAGTTGAGCAAGAACTGCTTACCCATCTTGAGCACTTTGATCCACCAAAGTTTGTGTAGTGTTCGATATTTAATATTGATTGTAGTGTTGTATTAACTGTTATATAATTTACCTCTTGGTATCGTCTGCTTTTTTGTTGTGCCAAAGTCGCCTCAAAACATCATTAAAATACCACATTATCGCCCGTTGATATAAAACTTACCTTTGAATTTTACACCATTAATATACCACTGAATATCTGGAGTTGGATCTCCGCCTGCTCTACATATAAAAGTAGCTTTTTCTCCTACGCCTCTCTCTATATCCGTCGGTTTGCCGTCCTCCATCCAGTAAGGCTTAGCTGTAAATACAGTAAGTTTAATCTAAACCGCCGTTTCAACGTCAACATAAAGTAAGCAACATTCAGAAAATCTTTCAGACAAACCCCTAATCCCAAGAAAAAAATAAAAATGCAAAATACGATTATCAACAACATATAAAAACATACCTTAGGCAACACAAACTTTATCTTAGGTAACATAAACTGCCACAAAACATACCTTAGGCAACAGAAAATATTACATAACACCGAGCATCATAATTGTTAGTACCGTTATATCTTTTTGTTGGTTAATTTCAATACCGATTTTGTTGAACTTGAGAAGAACAAATGTTTTTGGTTTACATGAACCCAGAGATATAGATAAATGAGTTCTTTCTATATTTCATCATCTACCGTAAATGATAAAGGTTTTTCACATCAACCTTTTGTATTTTCTCTCTCTCTCTCTCTCTCTCTCAACATATTAGTGTGCTTACATTTTACAATGACGTATCTCTCTCTCTCTCTCTCTCTCTCTCTCTCTCTCTCTCTCTCTCTCTCTCTCTCTCTCTCTCTCTCCACATATTAGTGTGCTTACATTTTACAATGACGTTTATATTTCGCTGCTGTCTTTGTCCAATGGCACTCGTCGTGTAACAAGTATAACTGCCTCTATCAGTCATTTGAAGCTTTGAAATATATAGCTGTTGTCCACCAAGTGACAGCGTTCTACGATTGTCTGGTATTGGACCAGTTTTATTTTCCCAATGGACCTCAGGTGTAGGACTATAAAACAACAAAACTAAATGAACCATAAATTTACTTTGTAATTACAGTAACGGTACATATTGTATTGCACCAGATGCGCATTTTGACCATTAACGTCTCTTCGGTAATTCTCGAGTAAAATATTTGAAAGTCCAAAACTTTATACAACGTTGAAGAGCTGATAAAACCCAAAAGGACCAGTCGTGTACCAAACCCTGACAAGGAATCTGAGCTATGCAAGTGTAAAGTAGTAGTGTATATACATATTCTTATGAGTACTTTTACAGTGGTGTCTTTACTTGTCATTAAATGCTTGTTCTATCTGCAGATATCGTATACTACTAGCATTACGTATACTTTTATAAGTGGCATCATTTTATTTTTCAAAATCGAATCAGTACATTGTAATTTGCAAAGTTTCTAATTTTTCATATTATTTATATTCCAAATAGATTTACGAGTTCAGAACATCAACAAACTACTGTCACTTATAATTTAAAAGTGGATGTTAGATATTGTGCATATGTATAACCTTTTTACATATTTTGACCTTTCTATTTTCATGTAGAAAAACTGAACTTTAACAACCAACGTACTTTCCTCCAAATATGCACTTAATTCTCAGTTCTTGTCCAATTATTCCGAAGATTCCATGAGGTGTCGACCATAAATAATGTGGAGCTACGTTATCGCTGGTTCCTGAAAGTATAAAAAAAGTAAAAGGAAATTCTGTATAAATGTGAAAATTCTATAACTAGTATTGTTGCTTATCTTTGAACAACTAATTATGTTATTTACTGTTTTATTCAAAGTTTTTTTTTTCATTTCTGTGGGTATAGAAAGCAACGTATTTATTTTATTTAGGTACGGTTTATTTCTGCCAATAAGCTGTTAAAACAATTATAAGTCTAACCAATAGTCATCTGAAATAAGATTGAAATAAAATTGAGAATGGAAATGGGGAATGTATCATGTGACAACAACCCGACCATAGAGCAGACAACAGCCGAAGGCCACAAATGGGAAAGACTGTGTTTAAAGGAAAGGACGAATATCTCGACAGAACACATTCTAAGTGAAGCGTCTGAAAAAGAGCTGAATCTGTGGTGATTACTTTACAGCATTCAGAAGCAGATCGAGGAACTCCAATGAGAATTGGCACATTAATGTTGTCATCAGGTTAAAACACGTATTTCTTTGGAAACCTATTGCTATCATAAGAAATATGATTGCCTATAATTGCTGACATCCACTTCATTAGAACTTTGGTGGATAGTTGTCTCATTGGCAATCGTACCACATATCCTTATTTTTATATATACACGTATTTATATGACAAATTACCTACTTTTGAATTCAGTACGTTAAGCATTTTCCTAACGTGAAATTACACAGCCAGAATATGCCTTTTAAAAGAGAGGCGAAAGATACCAAATGGGCATTCAAACTCATAAGTCGAAAATAAACTGACAATACCATGGCTGAAAAAGAAAAAGACAAACAGACAAACAACAGTACACAGAACACAACATAGAAAACTAAAGACTGAGCAACACGAGCCCTGTTTTAGCAACTTACTAGACACAACTGCCAGTACCTTGAATAATGTCTCCCAGTAAAAATTCGACTCTGCTACAAGTATCTAAATAAAAATTCTAATAGCCAAATTATATCCACCTTATTGATAGCTTATACACAAATAATGCGTCAAAGTAACACAATAATAGTGTATATGCATATGATTGCATGTTACTCACCACTGTTGGTAGTTGGTGCGATAATGTATCCATGTGAGAACGAATTCTTCCTCATTTTCAGATTTTGGGCCATGCATACATAAGGTTTGCCGTCTTGGTGGTCTTCCTTTTTAACATTGGTTATATATAATCGGCCTGAAAAGGTTTTAGATATTTTTTTCTAATATAATGACAGAAATAGTGAACATACGAATAAAATTAGTTTCAAAATATATTTTTGAGTAGGGTATCGAAGGTCACACCCGATAAGGTGATTCGCATGCACCAATATTTTTTGACAAATGACCTTCAAAATAAACATAAAATCCCCACTTCCAAAAGACAAAATAATGAGTCTTGCATGTACTTTTACATTTGAAAAGAACTATAGAGAAAATATATATATACAAAAATCAAGTATTCGCTCATTTGATAAAATTGATTTTGATATTTTAATGATGAAAATCAAATTTCCTTTTATAATATTAATTCCGGACTATATTTCACGATTTGATGTAAATCACAATGGTCAAATTTTTAAATTATAAAGAAACTAAGGTTTCAACTCCCTCAGGCAAAGTTGGTCTTAGAAGGATTTGGCTATTATTTCAGGTCATTTTTGATTATATACCTTTTAACTGTTTCGGTTTTATGCATCCTTGGCTTTCAAATATTCGGCTTTGAGCATTCCTGATCTTGAAGGTAAATCCAGAAAAGCGCTTCGGACGCATAAAATTTATAACGTATTGTTTTCATTTATTTGCAGCATTAAACTACTGAGAAACCGTGTACATTTTACAATGTTTGCATATTTCGTACAACTATTCTGTTGATTATCAAGTATGGTATTCTCACCTTCTAAATCCTGAGTGATTCTTCTATCCAAATTTATAGCCGACGTGGCCTGAGTTCTCGGATCCCGGATATGCCACGAGATTATGGCCTTTGGTATACTGGTTGGTGGTGTACAGCGTAATTTAACAGAATGACCAGGAATGACAGTGATAGTCTCATCCTTCCCATAGGGGAAGTCCTCCAGCATAGCTTGGCGGAAGTTAATGTTAATTGATGTTGACACTCCTAAATGATTGTAAGCTTTACACTGGAATATTCCTTCATCTTTTGGTCTTGGTTTATTCATTACAATGGTCCCTGAGTCTTGTAGCAAAACCATTCTGTTATCGTTACCACTGGTATCAAAAGGTCTTTCATTTCTTGTCCAATTGTATCTAAGTAAACATAATTATTTGTTATCTTATAGATATACTGCGAACATAAAAAAAGAGGTGGAGGATACCAATCAGAGAGTTAAAACTCATAAGTCGAAGAATGACGAATAAAATCATGGCAAAATACGAAAAATGACGAAATCACAAACAACAGTGTATATCTGTTTTGATAAGATACGTTAAACAAGTACCAGTCTTGAGAAGAAATGTCCTTCACCTAACGGCTCGAAATAAGACAAATACTAGTCAATAATACGTATTAAACACATCTATTAAACAATTACCAGTCTTGAGCAGATATGTCTTCTCTAGACTCGTATTTTTCGCAAATGCCTCTCATCAGCACGATATATCTGTTTGATTACACCGAATTTTTATAGAGGTGGATAAATTTAGCATTCAACATTTTAATTACATTAATCGGCCGACGCTATCAAGACGTAAAATAAGTCGCATTTTGGTAAAGCGCACACATCATTTAACGTTTCCGTTTAATGAACGTTTTAGCAAATACCGCGACAGAGAGGGTAAACAGAGATATTCTTGTGTGTATAACCAGGAGGTGTTGAAATATGAACAAAATTCATCTGATGAAATAAAATATATGAGACATACACAAAATATTCAACCATCAAAATCCAGGATACTTATTAAGGTATAAAAATGTAAAAAATACTGTGAATATAAGATAAGATTTAAAATTTTGAAAATATCCCTGGTGTGGGCCCGGCATTTGCAATATAGATATAATAGCATATAATAGATCAAACTGTTGCATCGTCAAATTTCAATGTTGTATAGTAGATTAGTTTGCTTTACAAATTAAGTAATATATGTATTATATCACTAATTATAAAGTTTTCCTTGTCACGATTTTAAACGCATTATATGGAGGGAAAACTACAGTGCGTCGATACAGATAACATACTAATATTAAAACAAATGAATCCTATCTACAACAGTGAAATGTGTTGATCTCTTGGAATAATAGGTAAGGTGCTGCTGATAATAGTTGATGATACTCTAGTGGCACACGACATATTGTATAAGACGATAAGTCGTATTCGGTGTTTGCGATTTACTGTCAGAAAACAAGATCAATGGAACATATCCGTAGCTGTCAGAAAATCTAAGATCAATGGAACATACCCATAACTGTCAGTAAACCTAAGATCAATAGAGCATACCCGTACATGTCAGAAAATCCCAGATCGATGGAACATATCCGTACCTGTCAGAAACCCCAAGATCAATGGAACATACCCGTAACTGTGGGTAAACCTAATTTCAATAGAACATAAACGTATCTGTCAGAAGACCTAAGACCAATGGATCATACCCGTAACTGTCAGTAAATCATTAGAACAATGGAACATATCCGTTACTGTCATTTGACGTAAGGCCAATGGAACATATCCGTAACTTTCAATAAACCTAATACCTATGGAGCATATCAGTAGCTTCAGGAAACCTAATGTCAATAGAACATAAACGTATCTGTCAGTAAACCTAAGATCAATGGAACATATCCGCCATTGTCAGAAAACCGAAGACAAATGGAATATACCCGTTACTGTCGGTAAACCTAAGATCAATGGAACATAAACGTATCTGTCATTAAACCTGTGATCAATAGAACATATCCGTAACTGTCAGTTAATCTCAAATCAATGGAACATATCCGTTACCTTCAGAAAACCTAAGATCAATGGAAAAAAGTGTGATTGTCAGTAAACCTTTAATTAATTGAAGATATCTGTAACTGTCATTAAACCTAGTAAGATCAATGGAACATATCCGTAACCCGTAAATCTAGTAAGATCAATGTAATATCCATAGCTGTCGGTCAGATTAATTGATCATATCCGTAACTGTCAGTATAACTAAGATTAATGGAACATATTCGTAACTGTAAGTATACATCAGATCAATAGAACATGTCCGTAACTGTCAGTTAACATAAGATCAATGAAACATATCCGAAACATTCAGTATCCCTTAGATCAATGTAACATATCCGTAACTGTCAGTATACCTAAGATCTCAATAGAATATATTCGTAACTGGCAGAAAACCTAAGATCAATGGAAAGTATCCGTAACTGGCAAGGAACCTAAGATCAATGAATCATATCCTCTTTTGTCAGTATATATCAGGTCAATAGAGCATATCATCAACTGTCAGAATATATCAGGTCAATAGAGCATATCAGAAACCTTCAGATTACCTAAGGTCAATGAAACCAATGAAGGTTACAATAAATATATATCAGGTCAGTGGGTATTTTTTGGTATAACAAAGGTCAGTGGATTCAAATGTCAACTGTTTATGTGTCAAAGATCAGCTTATTATTGTAAGCAGATATAAATACTAAATGTTGAAATTTCTATGATCATTGGATTCATTATGTTATTGTCAGAATATCAGAGATAAGTAGATTCAGTGAATAACTATGAGTATGCATAAAATCAATGATTACTATTAGTATGCATATTATTAAGATCAATTGGTGACTTTCAGTATGAATAAGATCAATGGGTAAATGTCAGTATGCATAAGATCAATGGGTAACTGTAAGTATGCATAAGATCAATGGGTAACTGTAAGTATGAATAAGATCAATGGGTAACTATCAGTATGCATAAGATCAATGGGTAACTATCAGTATGCATAAGATCAATTGGTAATTGTCATAAGATCAATGGGTAACTGTCAGTATGCATAAGATCAATGGGTAACTATCAGTATGCATAAGATCATTGGGTAACTATCAGTAATAAGATCAGCTTAAGCTTATAACTGTCAGTATGCATAAGATCAATGGTTACTATAAGCATGCATAAGATCAATGAATAGCTATCAATATGCATAAGATCAATGGGTAACTGTCAGTATGCCTAAGATCACTGAGTAACTGTCAATATGCATAAGATCAATGGGTAAAGGTCAGTATGCACAAGATCAATGGGTAACTATTAATATGCCTTAAATAATTTTCCTCAGTGAGGAAAAAATCCGCAGGTGAATATCAGTGTGTTATTCGATTCAGAAGGTATTTATTGTTAGTGTATCAATGGTGATTCAACATGTACCTTTCAGTGAATCTATGTATTCAGTGACCAACTGTCGGTATATCTAAGATCATTAGAAATAGTTGGTAGCTGTCGATTTACCTACATGCATGTAAGGTCTTTACATATAGTTGTTTACTTCGATAATAATATATCCAAGATCAATTATCTCGGTGGGTTACTGTATATATTTCAGTTGTTTCAGTAGATAAGTGGTAAAAATGATATTTTTATCTGAGAAAAGAGGGTTTATTTATTAGTTGCAATTGTCATTGAACTAGCTTTCAATAACTGATAGTACTCTCAGTGTCTTCGGTTGTCTTTGAACTAGCTTTCAATAACTGCTAGTACACTCAGTGTCTTCCGTTGTCTTTGAACTATCTTTCAATAACTGCTAGTACTCTCAGTGTCTTCGGTTGTCTTTGAACTAGCTTTCAATATCTGCTAGTACTCTCAGTGTCTTCGATTGTCTTTGAACTAGCTTTCAATAACTGCTAGTACTCTCAGTGTCTTCGGTTGTCTTTGAACTAGCTTTCAATAACTGCTAGTACTCTCAGTGTCTTCGATTGTTTTTGAACAAGCTTTCAATAACTGCTAGTACTCTCAGTGTCTTCGGCTGTCTTTGAACTAGCTTTCAATAACTGATAGTACTCTCAGTGTCTTCGGTTGTCATTGAACTAGCTTTCAATAACTGATAGAACTCTCAGTGTCTTTGGTTGTCATTGAACTATCTTTCAATAACTGCTAGTACTCTCAGTGTCTTCGGTTGTCTTTGAACTAGCTTTCAATAACTGGTAGTACTCTCAGTGTCTTATGGTGTCTTTGAACTAGCTTCCAATAACTGCT